AACACTCGTACTTCAGAGCCTGACACACGCACACATACACAGTATTTGTCTTTATTAATGTAAGAAAATTAATCAGTGTGTTTCGTAATGATTTCTGGCAGCATTGAAACTGGTTGAATTCAGCAGTGTGTGCCTTTAACACATGTTGCTGGAACATTTTGGGAATCATCTAAAGCAGTGGTTCGTGTACCGTGGGGGGAAAAATTCCATATTTTCTCATATACATTTTCAATTGAATAAATCTATAAAAATACGAATAAAATAAAAATTGAGAACCACTGATCTAAAAATACGAATGAAATAAAAATTGAGAACCACTGATCTAAAGCAAATGTTATGGTCTAATTGAAGAACCTTCCAAGAAACGACAAAGGCCTTTTGTCCTTTATGTCACTTCCTGTCCAAACGTTACCTGGACCAACTGAGGCAGGAAGTCCAGCAGCTCCAAGTCAGAAATGGAGTCCATCCACTTGACAGCTGTCCTCCTCAGCTCCTGGTCAGGGAACCTAAAACAAACACGACGATGTTAAAAATGATGTCACACACTGCTCTATCTTCGGCTTTGGTTTTTGACAGTGGCAACATACGACGCGTGTAGGAGTCCTAGGGCGTCCAGATGACCAAGGCACGCCCACTGTCTGAGCAGGGCATAGATCTCAGGTAGACAAGTCCACTCCCAGCAGGGGGCGCTGGCCAGAACCAGAGGCAGAGCTGCACTTTCCTTCTGACAGAAAGCTTTCTTCTCCCACAAGAGGCGCTTGTCCTCTGCAGTCAACCTGCCGAAAACAGAAGAGGGTAAACATGCTAAACTATGTTAGCCTGACAATAGGAGCAGGAGAAGCTAATGTTCCTGAAAATCATATTAACCTGTTGACCATCAGGAGGAGCAGTTTTAAAGTTTAAAAGCTCCGGGAGAAGCTAAGCTAAGATGTAGCTATGCAGCAGAGATTTACTCAGATACTTTGTGTAAAAAGAGCGCGTGTCTGTGTCTCTGACCAGAAGACGGACTTCTTGTGCAGGACATCCTGCAGCCGGAGCTGGGTGGCGCTGTCCAGTCTGGAGAAGTCATATTGAGGACAAAAGTCTGCAGGAGGGGGAGTTGTAAACAAGACTTCGAAGGACGAAGTGGGAAAGTCCACCTACGGCGAGTTACAGAGAGGAGAGAGACAGAAAGTCAGACAGACAGAGATTCGGTCAGTCAGACACAGGCAGTCAGACAGACAGTAAAATAGACAGA